TTCATCCATTCCTTTACTGCATGTTTACAACTCCCAGGTAGGCACAAAGCACTGTGGCCTGGCCCTTGGTTTAAATTATTGCAAGCACAATGATATGCTTAGCCAGAAAGTGAAGAAGAAGGCAAGTTCCGTATAAGGTAATATGAAGGGGTCTCACAATTCCAGCTATCTTAGAGATTTATTTTACCAAATATGAATCCTTATTATGCTAAGTAAACACCTGGGGAAAGACAGGATGTGCTGTCAGTCATCCTAGCGCATTTTCCCGAAAGACTGACGCAGAGAGGAAGAGATCTGCAGAACGGGCTGCTACAGTCACTAAAGCCAGACTCCAGGAGCTGCTTGCAGCTTGCGCTTCTCTCAGCGACCAGAAGATGGGGAGAAGATCGCAAAGAGTCACTGCCGCTAGCACTGTGCTTGAGAGGGCTGAAGAGCCACCTCATCTGCTTTGTTTGTGTTTTTGTAGCAGGTATGCAGAACTGTGAAGGCTGCTGTTCCTGTTCCTCGCTTTTGCGTGGGTGGTGACTTTCTGCAAATTATATGGTGGTGAAGAGCTGGTAGCCTCACTTTTAGCATTTGTTTGTAGGGTGGGGTTGAGGGATGAGCTGTCCCAAAACAGGTTGACAGGGATGCTTGGAAGAGAATTCGTTTACCTGGGGGGTGTGGGGGGTCTGATTTAATTTGCTTTGTGAGGAAGGATAATTGCATCAAAGTTAAGAGAGTTCCAAAATGTAGAAGGCTTTTGGTGTGTGCCAGACATGATGCAAATGGCTTCTGCAGGACATGTGCCTGTCACTGTGGGGCACACAACAGAGTGCACTGAAATGAAACTATGGCGGAAAAGGAATAAAGGAACAATCCCGCCGTGCAGAAGGAGTAAAGGCAGGCATTGCGGAAGAAAGGGAAAATTGGTATGGCTAATTGTTGTATACTTTGGCAAGATGGTGAAGGAAGAAAGGGAAGATGGTTAATTTAACCACTACCTTTTAGGCCGCCAAGATTGGGCTGTACCAGGGGGCCATACATGTCTCCAAACACACACCAAGCACAAGCAGGCATGTGCGTGCATGCACAGAAACACACATGCATGCACAGAGGCCTACAGTTTCTCTTGCTGGTGCTAATACTTGTGCAAGCAATACTGCCATTTTTTAATCTGGGTTCCTGTTCCTGTTCTTTTGTAAATTTTACATTAGCTGCAGATGCAAAGGGTTTGGCAGGCAACCCAAAATGGTTTGGTGGGTTGCATGTGGCTGCAGGCCACACATTTTGCACCTTTGATTTAGCAATTAAATCATGTTTAATTGCTTTATACATGTTTGTGAGGGATGACAACTTATGGCCTTCCAGATCTTGTTGGACTACAGCTCCCATCATCCCTCACCATTGCCTATGGCTGATGGGAGCTGCAGTCCAACAAGACCTGGAAAGCCATATGTTGCACAGCATGACTACATGCCATGGGCTGATGATGGGCTTTATGTGGAGCAGAAGAACCTCTTCCCTCCATCATGGAGATCACATCACGTGCTTTCTGGGTGTTCCACTTGAGCATCCCATTGGCCTGTCTTCCCCCTTTACTGGACCCATCACATGATCACACACAGGACAGGACCTCTAGCCTCCCTCCCGGTATAGATGAAGCAACCCAGTCCAGGATGGGGATGTGAGTGGGCCTGCTCTGCAGGTGATGCTCTGGGGCTCTTAAAGTCACACCATTACCAGGAATCTCTAGAACAACCTAGTAGGAATGGTAGCAAATGCTTTGGGGATTCAGGCTGCAATCTTATACCCACTGACCTGGGATAAACTCAACTGGGCTTACTTTTCTGCAAACATATAGAATTGCACTGGCAGCCTTGTACATCAGCGGTGGGCAGATGTTGGATTGGGGTTTCCTAGTAGACTGTGAGATGATTTGCTGTGTACTATTGTAGACTGGCAAGCATTTCTAATTCCCAATGGCCAAACATTTAGCAACAGCTAAAAGGCTTTTGCCTTAAATTTAAATTAATAGGCTCATTTAAGAAAGGAAGCTTGGCGGTGAGAAAGGGGTTGGGAGGGACACCAAATATTAATCTTCAGGAGCTCAGTTCTGGCAATAAGATCTGAAGTGGATGTCCTGCTCCGGGAGCCCTCCTTGCAGGAAATCAGAAAGGTGACTACCTGGAGAAGGGCCTTCTCTGCAGTGGCGTCCTGAATATGGAATATGCTCCCCAGAGAGGTTCACCAGGTGCTAACACTTTATTCTTTTCAGCATCAGGGGAAGCCCTTTTTATTTTCCCATTGCTTTAATGTCTAAGTGGTTTTAATCTGGGTTTTATTATACTAAGGTGTTGGATACTGTGCTTTGTTTGTTGCTTTTATTGTAAACTGTCCTGAGACATCAGTAGTTGGACAGGTTATAAAAGCCATAGATAGATAGATCAGGGGTCCTCAAACTTTTTCAGTAGGGGGCCAGTTGAAAGGCAGCAGCTACACGTGCGGGCCAGTGGGGGGGGGTGCCTGGGCACGTGGGCTGGTGAGGTGTGTCGGGTGCGCGTGAAGTGGTTTTGGGTGCACGCGGCGTGACTCACTCGCTTGAAGATCTCCCAGTTAGTTCAAAACCATCTCCAAGTGAGCAAGCCACTGGCGAGTGTGCATGCGCTGGGGAGGCAGGCAACAGCAGTGGCTTGCTCACTCGGAGATGGTTTTGAACTCATCGGGAGATCTTCCAGTGAGTCCAAAGCCATCTCCAAGTGAGCAAGCCACCGCCTCCCGTGCGCAGCGAGCATGCGCGCGGGCGGTGGACAGCAGCGCGGGCCAGATGGAAGGGCATGACGGGCCAGATCCGTCCCGCGAGCCATAGTTTGAGGACCCATGCTATCCAGTGTCAGGCTCTATTAACATGCAGAGCCTTGTCAGTGCAGCAGTATATTTCATGCAGAATCTCTCATCTATAAAGGAAGGGTCTTTGCAATTGAAAAGGATGGGATGATGCTCAGTTTGGGATGATCAGCAGTGCCTGGTGAGTTGTCTTTCTTCCACTCTGAGGGATTTCTACTGATGGTCTTTTGATCTCAACTCTATGTTTCTATGGTTATCCCATGAAGGTGGTTGTAACACAAAAGCCATATATGAGAATATCAGTTTTCCCCACAAACTCTTCCCAACAAATAAGAGCTGAGATTTATTGATATAACATTTTCTGTGCACAAATTTTGACATTCTTATCTATTTCATTATGAGAGATTATTTCTTTTTAATGTAAAAGTACAAACAATGAGAAACACATTCTTGATCCACTGAGATTTTTAGCACACTAAATGCTTTTGTCAGTTAAATGAATTTGAAGAAGGTTATGAAAGGACATGCATCCAGTAATCTTTTATTAGTTGGATGGTATCTTTATCTTTCCTACCTCAAACTGGCAGCCTAAAAATGAAATTGAAAGATTCTAGAAGATGATAACTCATACCTTGAATGCACAAAAAGATATAATAAGTTGTTTACTAGAAATCATCTGGGTATCAGGAACACAATTTTTGAATCCCACCAAAGTTGGAGAGGACCTGGTACCTCCTGCTATACCTAATTATGTAATATGCATAAAATCTGGAATTTGATTATGATTTTGGATTTCTGATCACGTCCAGCTTTTGAATTAATTTTAAGCCACTCCCCGGCCCATAATATTAAGTGGTGGTGGTGGTGTGCCCTTTATCGTGCCATTTAGGATTCCTGCAAAGTCAGAAATGAGTGCAAAATAAGGAACCTTGAATTTATTTTTTTTATAAATTTTCATAGTTTATTCTGAGTGCAGAATTTGCCTAGGAGCGGAAACACATGGCAGGAATGATGATAGTAAGATACCATTTACTTGTACCATCTGTAGCATGCCCTGGTTTCCGCTATTCTTACAATCCCATGAGTGAATGGAGGCTACAGTACTATTCATGAAGTCGCACTGTTAGTGAGAAGCAACCCCCTTCTCTTTTCAGTAATTTCTTAACAACATACTTATTTTGTTCTCTCCATGTATTAGAGAGAGATTAAAATCACCTGTTTTTTCCAAATCTTTCTCTTCCCACCTACTCTGGTATATAGATATTTTACCTGAACCTCCTATTCTGAAAACACAATAGCTTGCACCACTTCAAGAGGGATAGTGCTGGTAACATGAATAAGATCAGAAACTGAAAGCATTCCCTTTTGTTTACAAGTTTTTTTGGTTTGTCCAAACCGGGAACTGCAGTTAGTTTTTACTATGGCTTGTCCAAACAAGCTAGACTCAGAAACCATGGTTCAATCATGGCTCATTTGGAATAACTGTCATTTAAACCAATCATAGCTTGTCCCAGTTTAGTTGAAACTTCAAACTGCATTGAACTGAAAATGGAAGTTGATGCTTCTGTTCTCGCAACCACACTGGAGGAAAGGACATAAGACTAAAATATAGTTTAGTGTTATGTCCAAATGTGCTCAGAGTGACCCTCTAGACTCTGACAAGGTGGTCAGTTGTCAGTCTCAAGGGGTAGGGCAGGCCTGACTACCCAACGGCCTGGAATAGGAAATAGGTGTCATAAAGAAGCATCTAAAGATGAAAGAAATAGAGGAAAATGGCACACTGTGGGATGGGAAGAGCCACAGGAAGAGTAAAGCAAAGAAAAGCAAAGAGCAAAGACAAGTTTGTTCTTTGTGTTACTCTTTTCAAGACCAGAAATAAGCTGGAAGGTAAAAGGTAGGTAAATAAAGCTCTGCTTAGCACTTCACCAGAAAAGGAAATCCTTGTTTTGTATCCCACACTTTGAACCTTTCTTTCTAGTTTTTGAACAGTAGTTGGTGTTTGGCATTCTTTGGGGCACATTTATTCAGGCTGGAACTGCAAAATACTTTTAGAGCCATATCTGGTGCAGCGGGGGAACAACTCTTACCATGCCAGGGTGCACTTTTCGGCCACTGTGTAACAACAGGAAGCAGCAGCCAGATGCTCTCCTTCATTCTTTCTCCTCTCTTTGCAGGAATATGAAGTTGACGAGCACGCAGCTCTACGGGCTCGATGGGAAGAGGCATCTAAAGAAACAATCCAAAGGACAACCAAACCATGCCCTAGCTGCCATGTTCCCATAGAAAAAGATGGTGAGTTTGTTCAGCAACGTCCAACACTTCTAGCAACTGTATTTTGCCCTGTTTGTTCTGAGCTCTACCGGGCAGAGCAGGAGGAAGAGCAACGGAGCTCTTTCAGCTTCCTATTCCTCCCTACATGCATTTTGAGCTAGAGAAGCTCGGAAGCCTGTCTAGATCTCTCTGAAGCTGGAACAGGAGCAGAAACAGTGTGGTTTGCAGATTCAGTGGATCCAGGTCCTTGCTTCTCCCCTCTGGCCTACTAAGCATGTGGTTTGTTTGTTGTTTCCATCTTATGTTCCTTTGGTGTATATTTCTCCAGAGCTGGCTTATAACACTGTGTTCTCTGACTCACCTTATGAAGAAATTAATGGAACAGGTTTGTTCATCTGCTCTAATCTTCTCATTCTGGTATGTCACTGTTGAAACAGAGCTGCAGAATCTATAAAACAGCATTAATGCTACTAGAATTCACAAAAGCTAGAACCTCCTATTCCAGTGGCAAGACAAAAGCCAGTGGCTTATGAGCACTAGATGCCCTTCTTTTTAATGTGTTACCCGTATCGGTTACCATGAGTTCTGGACTGCTACTTCTCGTCTGCACTCAGATGTTCAGAGACATTAAGGGTGAAAACCTATGCATGCCTAGACAGAAAAGTAATCCAGTCGCCATGCTTTCAAGGGCAGTTTGTTCTCCAGAAGCATTTCACATCAATGACCAAATCTCAGTCTTCCTCTCTCACATTACATGGCCCCAAGAGACTGGAAAGCTGTTTTCTTTACAGCGGCCCTTCACAAGCCCCAACTGCCCCCCCCCATCCCTTTTGCTGTATGTTTCAGTTAAGCACCACAACCATGCTGTTATTTGCAAATATTATATTAAAGCTGTAAAAAGTATAAACTAAACTGCCATTTTGTTGTACATTTGGGGGTAGCTTGTGACCCCTGAATGAAATTATCTTGTTGCCTCTAACAGAAAGGAGCAAAGCACAGGATTCAAAAAAATATTCTCTTGGGATGTCTTCCTGAATCTGAAATCCCCATTTAACTTTTTGGGTGGCATAAAACTCCTTTATGAAGTAACCCAGACAACCCTGACCGATAAGGAATGGTCACTGTGGGTCCAGGGACCCCATTCTGGGCATAGGGTCCCTGCTCTTCCATTCGAGTGACCAGAACTTCTCGTGTGCAAGATGTCCTGCTCAGACAGCAGGAAAGCTCCAAAGCCATGCCTTGTGGCTGAGATTTCTGCCCCTGCTACAGGGCTTCTGTGGTGTTGCACATTTGGGGAAGTGAGTTCATGAAACCTAGCCACCATTTTTTGTGAAGCTGGGCAAGGATTGGCAGGTACAAAATTCCAGGAAAAAGTGTTTCAGCCACAATCATCAGCTGTGAGAGTAACTTGGCACTGATGGTAGATGTTACCATTAGAAGAGTCTTGTTGCCTACAACTCATGAATGCAGCTTGTGGAGGAGGCGCAACTGAAATTCTAGCCTTGTGACATTTTACATCACCAACCCTGCTTCCTCTTGCAAGGAGCTCAAGGCACCTTTCATGATTCTCCTCTGCTCTACTTTAGCCTTACTACAAGAACCGGAGGGGTAGGTTACGCGGCAAGGCCATGACACCACCGAAGCCACCCAGTGAGGTTCGTGCTCGAATGGGGACAGGAATGCAGATCTCCCAAGTCCCAGTCCAACACTCTAACTACTGCCTATCCATTCAAACCAACATACGTCACATGATTTGATGCTCGTGCCATCTTTACCCTTTTGCTACAGAACTGCGTTTTCATTTGCAATGTCTTCTTCTCCAGGTGGATGCATGCATATGAAGTGTCCTCGACCTCAGTGCAGGTTTGAATGGTGTTGGAACTGTGGCCTGGAGTGGAACAGAACGTGCATGGGAGATCACTGGTTTGACTGATCCCCGAGCAGCACCATGAATGGCCAACAGCTCATGAAACAATCTGCTGGTACTACAGAGTGCAGAATAACAAATACGTCTGGTTCCAATAGGTCACATCCTGGCCTTCTTGCTCAGATTACAAATTCCTCAGTCCTGCAATAGTTTCAGGTGGAAACTGCTTGTTGCTTTTTCACCCGCAAATCAGATCCAACTCTTATTGTACGTTCAGATGGTCTTTATGCTTCCTGACTGCATAATGACGCAGCCCCAAAAAATCAGAGTAGTCAAGCTGTCACACAGCACCCCTCCCTCCAACATCACACCTTAGCATTATTTGTCCTTTGAGGAGATGAGCAATGTTACCATTGCCCACCCTTCTCTTAAAATAGTTTGCTCATTGACCTGGACCTTTGAAAGCTGTTTTGATTGCTATTTGATTGCTTGATGCTTTTGTTTTCAGCTGGGCTTAGCACTGCACAACTGCCTTTCTGAAAAAGTGGGCTTTTCGTGCTTTTATAGAAGCTTACCCTCTTCCCAAAGAGATTTGCACTTGTACAGTTCACTGACACAACAAACTGTAGGTGTTTCAATTTTTTGTGCCTGTTCAGCACAATGGATCACCGTATGTGCATTTTCAGCATTTGCTGTGAGAGGTCAGCCAGTATCTTCATCATGCTTCCATGCAGTATGTTTTCATGTCAGTGGTGCTTAAAAGTGCATGGCAATTTCCACTCTGCTTTATGAAGGTGAAAATTCTTAAAGGAGTTGTATCTGGAAATGTACACTTTGCTAAGTCTTTGGGGACTTAGCGTTATGTTATGAAAACACTGCTGTAAACATTTGATGTACCAACTGTGCAGATTTAAGATGTTCTTGAACACACGTGGCTACTAACAAGTATAATCAAATCAGTTCCCACATTTTAAAATATAGAACTGCTTTTAAGATGTTAAGGCAAACATTTGGAAAGGGCAATGGCAGACACACATGTGCATGCACACAGAATGCCTTGCTTCAACACATGAGGTAGACAGGTGGTTTTGTCAATTGCCCGTACCATAACTTAGTGCTGGGATCTTTTCACCAGTGGGCCGTCACAGTGATACTGTATGTGAAGTTACACCAGAAATGTGTAGTATAAGTGCCCAGAGCAACTGAGTTGCTTTAATGTAGTGAAAGAGCAGTATCCTGGATTACCAAAGTCGGTCTGTATTTAAGTTCAGATAGGTTAATATAGGCAGATTTTGATATCAGCTGAACAATACCCACCACGTTAAGGATTGATGATGTACAAACAGTTTTACATTGGAACAAAAGGTGAAGCAGGCTAGAGTAATTAAAAGTGGGTGGGCAATGTGGCCCAGCAGATTGGCCTGCAACTCCAACCAGCCCCAGCCAACATAGCAAATGATGAAGAATTACAGGAGCTGTGGGCCAAAACATCTGGAAGGCCACTAGTTGCTCCCACCACAGGCCACCAGCAGCAGCTGAATTCTAAACTATTCACCTGCTTCTTCTCTCCAACAGTGCCCCTCAAAGCTGTGTGCTTTTTATTGGTCTTATATCCAATCCTGAAGCCAGGGTAAGAGGAAGAGAAACCGGAGAGATGCAATGGGCAAAGGAAGTGATCATCTCATTCTTTCACATACTGCTTCCAAGCTTGAACCTCCCTTTTTCTTGTACTCAAACATTTTACAACTCTTTGGCATGACTGTTTGAGGCTTATCACCTTCATATCTAGCACAGCTTATCTGCTTTCAAGTAGGTAAGAAGTAAGAGATGAATCAAATGCTGTGCATTTCCTGTTGTAAACCGCCTCACCCATGCCATCAATTCTAGGAATGATTGCTCCTTTCAGCCACCCAGTTTCTTGTAGGTGAAAGGAGGATACTAGAAAGGGGGGTAAGTGGGATTAATAAGTGAGTGAACATGGAAGATACAGAGATGAACCACCAAAGAATGAAACAGTGTGTCGTAAGAGAGAAAGGAAGGCCCAGAATGTTGAAACGAAGGAGGTTCATGCTTTGGAGATTCATGGTACCAGAATCCACCAAGCATTCTGTTCTTGCACACCTCCCATGCATTTGAAGGGAGATCACACAAGAGAACTTCACACCAGATTGTGTGCTGTTTAATTAAACACCTTATTAATGTGCAAGTTTAATGTTGGAAATGGCCCTACTGTATGGAGTATGGCACTGGAAAATCATAGCTCCATTACAATCCACTGTAATTTTCATAGTCTTTATTTCATACATTAGGACATAATCCATGATTCAGATGATGCTTACTGGTCTACAATCTGACTTGACAATTCATACTTTTGTAATTTGATTTCCCACTTTTCTTCATTTCCTTATTTGATCCCCCTTTTTCTAAATTACCCTGTGAAAAATTCTGTTAGGTTCAGAGAAGCAGCAACCCTTTTTCTAGCTTAGCTCTATATCTCCATGGCAAAAACTGATATGAACTGACATAGCTCTCTGACTCATGGTACAGGGTAAAAACAGGAAACCATGCTTGTGTTCAAAGTTTGATGTTTTGGGTTGGGTTGTTAACAGGTGACTCATTTTATTTTGAAAACTATGTAACCAGCAATTCCCCAGCCTCTTCAGCAGATAAGAAAAAGGTTTTCCTAGAACCATGCATAACAAAATGAGTTTAATTTTCAATAACTTGTGACCTTATTCTAATCCCACTTCTTCACCTTATAAAAATTAGTTGTGCTCATTTACTAGGAGTATTTCCAGCATAAAGAATTACTTTACTTTTTTAAAATTGAAAAGAATTACTTTGTAAAAAAATATTATTCACCATGCACAGAAAAATGCTGAATGTGGAAATAATTTTCAGCTGGGCAAGGGTTTCACTGTCATATTAGCAGCAGTCCATAAAGTAATGGGTTGAATACAGGCTGGTTAGACTTATTTGCTATTGAAATAAGCAAAGAGGCTAGTCATCACTTAGATCCAGCTTAGGAGCTAAGTGCATCCAGTGTAATATGGACTCAATGTGTTGACCTGGTGACTAGTAGAAGATGAAAACCACTGTTACAAGAAACTGACTTATTAGAATATTGAAATTATAACTGCCAAAAAGTAAAGAATGGGAAAATTCTGCACCAATCATTCCAGAGGTTGCTATATCAGCAAGTGCTCTATTATGCAGAAATAATAGGTACAGAATCAAAGATATTTTTTTCTCTCTTGCAAAATTAAAGCTAGCCACTATCCTCTGTGATGTCTGGCTGAAGAGCTTAGGTATAGTAGACCTGCATTTACTTATACAGCTGTTTTCTAAACACATGCTAAGTTGTTTTTTTTAATCAGTAAGGTTGAATTCTGTTTCTATGCTCATCAGTCAAGAGACGATTCTGAAGAAGCCAAAGAACAATCATAGTAATACAACTAAATCCTAAGGCTGGCAAAAGCTTTCCCAGTAATGTACACAAAAAGTGTTTCTAAATTATAGTTCAGTTCATTTTTTTTCTTCAGCAACAACCACCTCTGAGCATAATAGCATTTTGGATTCTATTTTTCCTCCAGTTCAAAACTTGCATCTCCTGCTTGTTAATAGGAGAATGCAAAGAGCAAAAGGTGGACCTTTGGCTGCTGAATAGTTGTTCTCAGCTGGAAGAGTATCTTTAACTATAGATAAAGAATGGCTAGATACTTCTCTTCAAAAAGAGAAGTACTTTGCTGATCTCCCGCTCTTGCATTTTGACATGGGGGTTTTCACTGATGTCTCTGTGCATTGGCCGTAATTGAGAACAGACCATTGCCATGTGTTGTAGCCACTGGGCATGGTCTGTATCCATATGGGTTGGCAGATGCCAGATTCAGGTGCTGATTAAAGCTTTAACCCTATCTTGCAGTATTACCTCCGGCTGGTTGACTGTCACGCTGCAGAAGGCAGAACTTATTTCATGCTGATTAAAATAGGCTTTGGGGGTTGTTGTTTTTACTACAACAAAGCTGTTGATAAAGAGGGTTCCTAAATAGGAAACAATAACTTCCAAAAAACCCAACAATGCTGGACTTAACTAAATACTACTCAATGTGAGCAGATTGCATGTATTGTATTTCAGATATGTTCAGAAGACCTATACAGTGCAAAAGTAATAAAGTGTTTTGAACAATTTATTTCTGTTTAATGGGAGTGGGATACAATACTTCACTAGATTAAGAACAACAACAAATCTGCAAATCAAAAAAAGTTATATGTCTTCCCAATCAACCTCAATGTTCAGTTGTTTCTTATTGCTCTAGAAGTCAAAGTGTGAACTTTGCAATATGGCTTTTTGCCCGTAATAAGAATTGAACAATTCCTATTACATTTGGACTCCATAGTTCATTCAGCAAAATGATTCACTTTTAAATGAGGTTTAAAAATCATGTTTTTGTTCAGTGGAATCTACCAGATCACAGCAAAACTGTGTTCCTTTGTGGGATTTAGAAGCATCCAGCATTTTATGGTTCAGTGATACGCAGCTGAACAAATACAGGCCTCAAAGTGAGGTGAGGTGAGGTGGAAGTTCCATCTCAGGAGCTGGATTTGGGATTGCTGTTTTCAACATAAACATTTTCACTGGATAACAGCAATCCTCACACAATGGACATTTTTCCAACATGCTCTGAAGCCAATTTAGAAAAATCCTCATCAAGGGCCTCTTCTTATTACCACTATTTCAGTGCTGGATTTGGACTTTAAGAATCACAAAAGCAAGACTGATGCCCTAAAATAGAAGGCTACTTCCAAACACTTAGAAACTACAGTAGGAGAATATTGCTAACACTTTCTTTCTTAATCGTTACATAATCTTTTTCTAACCACTTATTCAAAGCCTTCTTCCCTGTGTAAAAGGAAAAAATGCTAAAGTATGTTGTACTCTCTTGGTTGCAACTGCTAACTCTCAGGATGCTAATATCTAGAAATACTTAGATAGGAATTGTTTCAATTTAGGGGCACATCCTTCATGACAGCATTTATTTCTACAGTCCAATACCAAGACTTTTTTTTTTTTTTTTGAATGAGTGAATAGGTGTTAATGCCTAACAGAATGCGGCAATCACTCACTTTTTATTTTTAGAGCCAAACCTGCTAGAACCTGAGTCATTTAAAAGGGAAGGCAAAATAATTTGTCATAAATGCTTTCACACTTTTATAAATTCTTACCAAGACCTACTGTTATGGTGATACCAGGCAAGTAAATATGGAACGTTGCATGTGTTTGCAATGCCATAAGGAAGGTTACATAACTTACCTTGCTTATACACACAATTGCAACCATCCTCTTGAGGTTACAAGACTTCACCTGCTTAGCTAGTACATAAAGAGTAGATGTGCATTAGAGTCCCAGTGCTGGAATGGTTCTTGTGGCAGTGACCACTGTTGTTACAAGCAAGTTGAGGAGGGGGAAATGTGGAGCAAGGAAGCATCGAAGAAAAGGCCACTTAGCTCTTTCCCCACATTCAATTTCTCTGCTCCAAACCACTTCTGTACTTCCCTAGTGGCTTTAAGCTCTCCCACCACCTCTCTCTCACACATGGAGAAGCCAAATGCTCATTGTGAACTCTGCTTGGGAGAAAGCAGCTTGTCCATTTGGAACAGGTAACTGGCAGGCAAGGAAAGAGCAAAGTTCCTCCTCCCCATTCCACACCCTCCTGTGCTTTTCTGCTTCAAATTCTCCTATTGCAAAGCTGCTTTTCAAGAAAAGGAAAAGGGCAGAGTGCTACGTGCAGTTAGTGCTCCTGCCAACAGCGCTCCAAAAAGATGCTAACCTGTATGTATAGCAAGGTTTAAGTTCATACTGTCCAAAATATTCATGATTCTCAGTCACAATACTCAATCACACTATCTGAAAAACGCATTAATTCTTTTTCTTCTTGCTATTCCTGTAGAGGGATTTCCTTCAAATGGCCTTTGTCAGTAATGCTTCCTGCCGATCGTATCTCTTGTGGTGAGCATTCGTGTGTGCTGGGGCAGGACCTGGTCCAATATTACACCAACTGAAGTGAAGGGAAAATTGTTTCTTCAATATGATGATTGATTAAATTACTGTCCAAATTATAGGTCTCTTTAAAGCTATAGAACCATTAGTGAATCCCAGTGATCAATTTCTTTGTGCTACATAAATTATTTAGAGGATATCAAGCCCTGAAGCAACAAAACATCCTCTCAATGATCATTGATGTTTTAAATTTAGTTAGTCCTTGGCATAATACAACCTGCCACAGCAAAACTCATACATACTGCAATACTTAATCCCAGTAAATTTGGCCATGAAGCTGATTAAGGTATGCCTGCCTAACTTGTTCGCTGTAAATCAAGGCCAAATTGATGTTGGGTAAGCTAGAAGCTGACCATCATCTGCACTTATAACAAAATCTGAGGTTGTGTGAAAGGTTGAATCCAGGTAGCTTTGCACATCATGCTAACACACCTGGACAGTAAGCCATAATAATAAGCTGGTTGTTTCTTAGACAGCCCATGGTGCACTCAACAGACAACTGGACTCACTGTGTGATCTCCCTCATTCCCCATTTGTCCTCCCATGCGTCTTCCCATGCGCACTACAGGACTCTGTAGTAAGGCCAGCTTCTCTCCACATCTGCCAATATGATCTTTTTAACCTCCCTGCAGCTTCCCCACTCCTTTTATTCTTCTTTTTCAGAGATTGCAAACAAAGACCTTAACATTGGCAGCGACTGACAGCTCCTTCAAAGTGCCCAAGTGGCACACTGTCACTGATTGGGCAACTTAAACAAAAATTATACCCCAAATGTGTTTAAACTTTCTAGTAAAATGTTGGGTAAGCCAGAGATTGCCTGCCCACCTGGGGAGTCTGACCTTGAGATAAGCATCCCTGCTTCTCTCATCTCGATGTCTGGGTATGGCTCATTCCCAGGCCTCCTCCCATATTTCTCCTTCTTCTGATTCTGATCCTTCTAGAGACCTTGAGAACGTGCACCCAACAAAGTGCAAAAATGCTGTGGCAAACCCAACTCAGCTTGCCGTTGCAGTAGGGAGAAGAAGAGATAAGCTGGTTCTGCCACTGTGTCCTCAGGAGGACCAAGGGAGAAAGAAGTGGAGGGACAGGGTCATCAAGCACAAGGGAGCCTGACTGTCTGCTGGGCATAACAGTGGATGGTTTGGCTAACCACCAGCCCTACCCTCAATGCCAGAGTAGGTTATCATGGTGTGTGAACATGCCTAGTGGGTGTCAGTGGTCTTCTAACCATGAAGTGATTGGAGAATTCCTAGCAGGAAGGACATAATCTGGGGGCTTAAAGGGCAGTGGTTTCAAGATCATGGACGTACGTGTGTGTGTGTGTGTGTGTGTGTGTGTGCGTGTGTGTGTGTGTGTGTGAGAGAGAGAGAGAGAGAGAGAGAGAGAGAGAGAGAGAGAGAGAGAGAGAGACTTGGTTCAAACAATGCTACAGCCCACACTCAAAGGTTGTTGAGTATGGGTTGTTGTTGAAACATGAGTTGTGTTATCTGAAGCCAGCTGCACTAGCAAGTTGTGGTCTCTTAACCAAGCATAACCCATGGTTTGTTGTTTGGTCAGAACCATGGATTGTTCACCCTGATTTGTTATCACGACTGATTTTAGAAACACAATAGCCCATGTTTCCACAACAGCACCTGGGTCAATAGCAATATAAGCAGAACCCCTGAGTGTGGGTTATCATGCAGTCTGAAACAAGTTATGTGTGTGTGAGAAAGAGAGAAAGGCAGGGGCACAAAGATGTGGAAGTCAACAGTGGAAAGTCCACACACAAATACTGGGAAGAATGACACCATACTGTGCAAGAGGGATAGTCCTCCACACCTCACAAGACCATTATGTAGAGAGAGAGAGGCCTCAGTTACTTCCAATGGGAAGTCTTGCTTGGAGAAGTCTAAGAAAACCTGAAATTTGCTCTAGAAGGGTTGTTAGCCACCTGGTCTTCCTAACCAATCCCAAACAAATACTCTGGAAATTTTTAATGGAAGCCAAATGTGAAAGTAGAAGAGTTTTAATTTCTTAAAAGCTATTTTTATAAAAGCACCATTTGATTTATCAGCTCCCATTCAGCCGTGAATGTCATCAAATGTCTCCTATGACATCTGCCTCCTACAGTTTTACCCAGTCTGGCTGAATATCAGTGACTGGTCTGCTCTGCTATGCTGGTGGCCTCTGCTATGTCACTTGGCTGTGGATCCTCTGCCACTGAAAGGAATTGCTTCTTGGAGGGGTTTTATGAGCTACCTGCATAAAAGGAAATCCTCCCGTCTTCTTCAGTATTCACAAGCGTTCAGGTTGCATCTTCTTGGCCAAGATTGGTTCAGTAGTCTCAGAATCTTAACAAGAAAACATACAGAACATTATTTGTCCTTTCATACATGATGGGAAATTATTGGAATGACCATACTTATGACCCAGTTCCATGTAATGGCAAATTTTGGATTAAGCCACATCTTGCAGTGCACAAGCAGGAAGTAGCAAGTATGCTATCTCCCACGAGTTGCTCACTCCAGCTTTTAATCAACAAACTACATTCAGTTTGCATATTATAATCAATAATAAGCCACTCAGTGTTTTTAGTGGGTTGACTACTGGATGATTTAGCCTCTAAATAACCCAGTGTTCTGGGTTTGCATGTCATGTTCAATAGCCCAGCAAGACATCAGTTATTGATTCAAAACAGAAGCATGCTCCTTCCCATTCACCGCCCTACCAATAGATGAAATAAAGCATGACTTGGCACTACATGTGAACTGGTCCATATAAGCCCTGACCTGGCCTTTCTTTATAGGTTTTATTACTCTCACCTGTTCCTGAATGAAAGAAATTGTACCACCTTCCACTGAGACAGTCCCAGAGATCTTTGCAAGGTCTGATCATGGCACCAGTCAGCATTCTCTCCCATCTTGTGATAGCCTTTCACTATTTTACCAAGAGGGTTAAACTTTAAGTCCTTGAAGAATGAGCTCTAGGAACTTACTGCGGACTAAGTTGAATATTCCATCTCTTTACCAGACTTGGAGTTAATTATTAACAGGCCAAGTCTTTAACTTGAGAAAGTTAAACTAATCAATACTAAGCCCTGTTCTAAAATTCGGGTGGGGGTGCAGTGAGTGGAAATCAAGAAATGC